ATATGGTCACACTACATTAAACAAACTGTCCACCCGGGCTTTTGCACTGCACAGAGAATCTTCGCTGCCTACGACTGAACGTCAGTTGAGAGTCAGTCTCATGCAGAATGACCAATGAAGAGAGGGCCTCAAGTTAAGACCCTCTCCTCATTGGTCAGTCCACACGAGGTGGGTCAAAGGTTACTCTGGGCGGGTTACGTGTTGTCAGGCATTCAAGTATTGAGTATATTTACTGCATATTACAGTAAAATATTCTGTATGTGACCACATTATGGTGATCCTCGGGTCGTGATGATGGAGCCCTTGAATATTGTTGCCCAGGGTACAACAAAGTGTTAATCTGGCCCTGGTTCCGCCGTCACATTCCCGCAGAAACTGGTTGATCACACCGGGGCCAGACTACTAGCATGTGGTTTTACAACCACAATGTCCTCCGAAGCAAAAACGCTTTTAAAAGGGAGGGAGGAGTTCTAACTGTTGCTGCAGGCGTGTTGTGTGAGAGTGCAGTTATATACTGGTTAATATATTTTTGGGTTCAGTTGCTTTCATGTGGCCTAATGTGAGTCTATTTGGGATCATTGGAATGATCAGCAGCATTTCTTGATGTGACTTTATGGCAGTTGCCCAGGGCATCATCGCAAGGAGGATGGCATTCATTTACTTTTGTTTTATTTGGTATTTTTTCAGTCATTTTTTGGAAATAGTGATCAATTTTGATTAATTCACAGCCTATGTTTAATTACATTTAAAATATATGTCAACAGATGAGATCAAACAAAACAGATGAGAATTGCCCTTAAGCTGTTTAACTTGGACCAAGCATTTTAGGTCACAGATAGATGTAGCTTAGGGTCTCTGTCTATACACCTTATAAGACAATTTAGGTGATGGCATGTTGTTTTTCTGCTATTGAACTGTTTTCTAATAATGTTGTGTTAAATAAAGTGAAGGAAGGAGAGAAATAACGTTTCCCTAGCAGTTTTTAAAAATTTCCCCATGTAATCCGATTAATCGATTAATCGTGTCGAGACCCCATCCGATTAATCGATTATCCAAATAATCGTTTGTTGCAGCCCTAATTGTAAATATTTGGATATCAAGTACAAGTGTTCTTGATGAAGAGCAAGTTGAGCTCCCGTTAGTCTCAGGCCACGATCAGAAACATGCAGAGCATTTATCTCTGGAGGGACATTTAAATACAGTAGTACGTCTGTGTGTCTCTATATGTGGGATTATATAATCCTAATTCAGATCCACTCAGAAGACCGATCTCTCTGGATCAGTAACAAAGCACACACACACACATAAACACGTCAGCCCCTGGCTCTTCATGTAATATGGCACCGGCTCCGAGGACGGAGCAAAGCGGAGGAGAGGAGTGTGGCGAGCACTCCTGAGGCTAAATTTACTCGCTCGCTGTAACCCGGCACTCTATGCAGATTCTATTAGCCCCCCGGAACAGTTCAGCACTCCATCAGCCTGCCATTTCCCCCGTGCTAACGTTGAGAGCGTTTATCGTACCAACATCTCTGCACCAACAGGAGCAGCACTCAGGAGGACCCAAGAGCTGCATTAGAAAAACTACTGATGGCATCAATCTGAGCACAAGAGCGCTCGCCACATTTGTGTCTGATTCTTTAGTTGGCCGCGGCGACGAACGTCACATCTTCCACTCATCTTTCCCCACTTGTAAACGAAGAGCGCTGAATTAGATCCGATTAAAAGCAGCCACTTAAAGGTGGAGATGGAGTGACCTCAGCTGTAGAGCAGCGCCGTGCAGATGGGATCTAAATTCATGCTGTTGCATCACTTCAGCAAGTAAACACAAACTTCCAGCTCTTTTTCTAAATGGCTCTTTAAGAAGAAGCATTTCTTTATGAAGATGTGAGTAAAAATTCCTGTGATGTTTGATAAAACATCTCAGGATGTAAAATACCTGCTTCAAACAGAGAGATGAGTGAATAAAAGGTCTGATACATTTATTTATAAATTACATCCATCCATCCATCCATTATCTGAACCCGCTTGGCCATGCAGGGTCACAGGTATTAATCACATATCAGGTAAAAAAATCTAACTTTAATGTCAGCGAGTTCAAAAACCTTCCGACTAGGGCTGCAGCTATCGAATATTTTTGTAATCGAGTACTCTATCGAATCCTTTATTGATGAATCGAGTACTCTATCGAATCCTTTATCGATGAATCGAGTACTCTAATAAATGACCCTTTTGTGTTTGTAAACCATTATATCAAATAGCATGTTATAAAATATGAAAGACCAGGGGCGGAGTTAGGCTCGGCTACTTGGGCTCAAGCCCCGGATGTTTTATGAAAAGACTAGTGTGTGTGTGTGTGTGTGTGTGTGTGTGTGTGTGTGTGTGTGTGTGTGTGTGGTGTGTGGTGTGTGGTGTGTGTGTGTGTGGTGTGTGTGTGTGTGTGTGGTGTGTGTGTGTGTGTGTGTGTGTGTGTGTGTGTGTGTGTGTGTGTTCGTGCGAGCGCGCGTTAAGCACCGGATCTTCTACAGTCCTAAATCCGCCCCTGTGTAAGACCTCTTAAAATGAGCACGCAATTGCCAATTATTCTTCAAGTCGCCATCGTCGTCGTCTTCCTCCGCTTATCCGGGTCCGGGTCGCGGGGGCAGCATCCCAACTAGGGAGCTCCAGACCGTCCTCTCCCCGGCCACCTCCACCAGCTCCTCCGGCAGGACCCCAAGGCGTTCCCGGACCAGATTGGAGATGTAACCTCTCCAACGTGTCCTGGGTCGACCCGGGGGCCTCCTGCCGGCCGGACATGCCCGAAACACCTCCCCAGGGAGGCGTCCAGGAGGCATCCTGACCAGATGCCCAAACCACCTCAACTGGCTCCTTTCGATCCGGAGGAGCAGCGGTTCTACTCCGAGTCCCTCCCGAATGTCAGAGCTCCTCACCCTATCTCTAAGGCTGAGCCCGGCCACCCTACGGAGGAAACTCATTTCGGCCGCTTGTATCCGCGATCTCGTTCTTTCGGTCATTACCCAAAGCTCATGACCATAGGTGAGGATTGGGACGTAGATGGACCGGTAAACCGAGAGCCTGGCTTTCTGGCTCAGCTCCCTCTTCACCACGACAGATCGGCTCAGCGTCCGCATCACTGCAGACGCCGAACCAATCCGCCTGTCGATCTCCCGATCCCTCCTACCCTCACTCGTGAACAAGACCCCGAGATACTTAAACTCCTCCACTTGAGGTAGGACCTCTCCCCCGACCCGGTGAAAGCGGGCAGGATCAAATCTGGAACAGCAGTTCTAGAAACTTGATCCTCAATCTGATCCTACGAGGCAAAGCTGAAAACTACAAGAAAGGTTCAGAACCTTCAGAAGCAAAAACAGAAAATCAGAAACCTGTCAGAGAGATTTGGAACTGGCTGATGTCAACATCTGGCCCAATTTACTTTCTTTTCCTAGTGTGTCCCACTTTTTAATTTGTGTTGATGTGCTGACGTGTGTGTGTGTGTGTGTGTGTGTGTGTGTGTGTGTGTGTGTGTGTGTGTGTGTGTGTGTGTGTGTGTGTGTGTGTGTGTGTGTGTGTGTGTGTGTGTGTGTGTGTGTGTGTGTGTGAAACATGGAAGACTCCTGGGAGGGAATACTACTCATGTGTCACTGAAACATTTTAGATACAATTATTGTCCTTCAGCAACAAAGTGATAGTTTGGTGTCCTCATGATGACATCATCAGGACCAAACTGACCTAATCTGATTTCTGAATCAAATTTAACAAGAGAGAGAGACAGAGAGAGAGAGAGAGAGAGAGAGAGAGAGAGAGAGAGAGAGAGAGAGAGAGAGAGAGAGAGAGAGAGCTGCAAATAGGGCCATAATGCAAACACAAACAGTGCATTAAAGTAGGACACTAACTGTCGATGGATTTGATTCACCGCTCAGTTTAGACTGGGAGTGTGGAAGCATGAAGAGGTTAAAAACACCTCTGAATACGACCGTGCACGCTGAGCTACATCAGAAAATCAAACATCTCTCTTCTTTAGTCACTGAACTCCTAAAACCAGCAACTCTCTGGGCTGAAACCTTTGGTGACACTGACATTTGTGAAGAAAGTGCTGGAACGTTCATGGTTGTTCCCAACTTCCATAAGTGAGTAGCGGATCTCACTTTTCTGTGGCAGGAAAAAGCAACATCGGGAATTTATCTGTAAACCTTTTCTGTTTCCAAAAGTAAGAAAATTTTAGATAATCAGGGAATAAAATAATTTCTGACCAGTTTTGGCTCAATGACCAGGTGCAGCAAGAATCCATCAGTATCCAAACATGTGTGCAGTGGTCCATGGTTTCATTCAGTCCAAGGAATTCCACAGTGAAATTCCCACAAACAGCAGCTTAGTGTGATCCTGGTGCAAAGTTGCCAACCTCTGGTGCTTCCAGCAGTCAGAGGCAGGAAGTGTACCAGCAGCAGCTGCCTCCACCCATCCCAAACCAACAACAGCTTCATCAGAACCTCACAGCTCCCGTCCCCAGACACAGGTTCCAGATGAGCAGCACAAGCCCAGGGTCAAAGGTCCCCAAACTGAATGTTTGCAGGGTTTCTGAGCCTTTCAGACTATAACTATGATCTCAGACACAGGAAGGGCGTTTCTGTGGAGTTTTCTATATTCAGTTTGTGATTTAAGTAAATAAGAGAAAGAGAATAAGATCTTCACTGACATGGATTCAGATTTTTAATGAAGAAATGGCGATTCTGGTCTGGAGGGGGTCGTTAACTCTTATTCCTGTGATGCTTCAAATCTGAGTTCAGATGCTGCAGCATCTTTCAGAACCAAACTTTACTGAAATGATTAGAGGAAGCAGCAACACTTTGCTTTAATCTTCACGTGGAAATCAGATCAAACCTGCAAACACTCAACTTGAGGAAGCTGGCTCTGGATTTTGTGTAACCAATTAAACATTATGAGCTTCAGCAGCAGCCCTCAGACTCTCATCCAGACCCAGACGGTCATCTCCACGCGATTCTGACCTTTGATGTGTTCGTTCACCACGCTCTCCAGCCGGTCCAGCCTCTCGATAATCCTCAGCGTCTCCCCCTTGGCGTCCTCCTCTAACTTTCTGTCCGCGTCGCCGCCGCTTTCCGCAACTTTCGGACCGCTGTTGGCCACATAGTTGGTGATCCAGCCGACGTACAGCAGACACACGATGTTGGTCATACCGCTGAGGATCACGCACGTTGACACCAAAGTTTTAGTTCTCCTTGAGCACAGCATCGCGACATCCCGGCACGAGCGCAAGCAGGTGGACTGAGGAGAAGACGCACTCGGGGAAACGTGTCCAAAAATGCGCTCAGGTCGCCTCGGCGCTCTCCGCTGCTGGCTGCGCCATCGCGGAATATTGCGAGTGCCTTTCGCGGCTGTAATGAAAATAATCTGACCGTATGATTTCAGGGAGCTTACACGCTGAGCAGCCGGGGAGCCACGCTGCGCTCAGCCGCTCCGAAGATGTGAAACGGGAAGGCAGCAACCCCCTGTTGCCTTCCTGCGGCCCAATCGGAGGGGAGGAGGCGGGGTTTCCCGGCCTCTGCCATCCCCCTCACAGCTGGAGGAGGAGGAGGAGGATGTATGGAAGCTGAAGTGCATCGACCCGAGAGGATATGGCTCGAGCAGATTCAGTTACAAGGCGAGAGGAGATTGAGCAGGTGGCATCGGAGGGCGCATGCGTAAAAGTGACTCTTTCAGCCACCTGTGCAGGTGTGTGGGATGGATGCGTGTGGGCTGATGTTGGTGTTTTGACATAGAACATTTGTGATCAATAAACATTAATAATTTAAATATGTTTTAATAAAAATGTGCAAAAATGCTTTTTATTAAAAATAATATGTGGAAAATGTTTGCAGTCATCATGTGATCCTGGTCCGTACCTGTCCAGTTCCTTTTGTTATTTAACTGATTGGTTTTTTCATGTCCAGTCTTGATCCACGTTTACAGGAATATGTTTTATTTATAAAGTAATTTACTAAAGTATCTTTATTTATTTTTGTAGGATCAGCTATGTTAAAATTTAAGGACATTGTATATCTTAAAACTTTAGAAATGATGTATAGAGTGGCGAAAAAGAATGTTCCAATTTGTATTTTAAGTATGTTTAAATTAAGAGATGGAAAATATGATTTGAGGGGGTCTTATGTGTTTGAAATACCTAAAGTGAGAACTAATGCGAAGTATAGATGTGTGTCGGTGTTGGGAGTGAAGTTATGGAATGGACTTAATGATGAACTGAAGATGTGTTATTCTTTGTCGTTTTTCAAGAAAATTAAAAAAAATTGCATCTTCCAAAGTTATAGAAACTTAGTTTGATGTCCAACCTTGTGTTGATTTGATTTCTTGATTTATCATTGCTTTTCTTTAAATGTTATGCATCTTAGCTATCAGCCTTGGTTAAGGATTTGATTATCTCTGTGGGAGTTAAGGATAGGCTAATTATAAGCCACTAGGCTTCAACCTATTCCTTTTTTCGGTTGCTTGATTACTTTTATGTAAAATTGATAAATTGTTGTTGTTGACTGAATAAAAATATCTATCTATCTATTTATATATTTTTCTCACCGAGCCAATACACTGAAAAAAAATTACTTGTATGATTTACTTAATTCAATTATGGAAAGTGGTTGCACACAATTGTTTTGCTTTAATTGCAAGTAAAACGTTTGAGTGGAATGAACAAGTTTTTCACTTTAAACAAACATGTATATTCTGTGTTAATACAAATTGATAGAAACATGTTGTCATTAAGTAATTTGAGCTCTTCAAACATTTTAATTCAACATGAATCTTTCACTTTGTTCGAACGCTATTCCTCAACTTACTGTAATACTAATGGGTCACTTTATTACTACATGTCTTCTTCAAATTCAATTTTCATAATATATTATAAAGTAAAATACTAAATTTTTTCTACTTCAACTCAAGTCACATCATGGAAATGAAAATAAAATAAACCATCATCGAAGAGAACAAAAACATTCTGCTTTGTCAAGATTAAACAATACAAAGAAACTACTTAAGTCATTTAAAATGCAGAAATGTTTTGTTCCATTACCATTAAAATACATATTTACTGAAATGATAAATATGTTTCTATACTATCTTAATGACACTACCAATTTTCTCTCAATCAAAAAGAAACTGCTGAATGTCAAAACCTTTAAGTGCTATAGTTTGATGCACCAAGTGTTTGTGGTCAAAATATAGAAATTTGAAATACATTAGATACGAGTTTAACTAAACCTCATGTATAATAAACATCTTTAATGCTTTAAAAATATATCATCAAGGTGAGTATAATAATAAAAAGCATCAAAAATGTTTAATTTTTTGGTTTAAGTGGTGAGCTGTACTTTGTATTTATTTATTTATTTTAAACAAGCCTGCAGTTTCCTGGGGTTCCAGTGTTTTATAGTTTTAAATTGCACTCTTGAAATATTAAACACAATTTTGTTCTTAATCGACCTTTTTTTGTTTTCCTCATTTTCACAGTGAAAAAAGTGAATGAATGAAAAAATACCTTTAGCAATAGATTTCAAAATGTAATGACTAAGATTGTACTCATTTACTTTCAAAAACAAAATGTATTATTGCTTGTGCGTACGTATGTGTTTTGTAGTCCATTTGAGAACTACAAATGGCGACGTGAGATGATGTCAGACACCAGCAGTGGAAAGAACGTGGCGGACGGTGTTTTTATGGCTGTGTCTCGGTTAAAACACAGACAATTAAAAATGTAACTCCCAAAACAAAAAATAACATCTCCAATTACACACAGACATTACCTGATGAGCTTGTGATTGGTGTCAATGTGCACCATATACTTTGGGCAAGGAACTGTGTACGTCCTTCTCACTACACATCCCAGATGTGTCATTCGAGCAAGTACACCCGCACTGTCCACACGATGCATGGATGCATACAGTCGGTCCCACTGTACTCTATGTCCCTGGGCAAGTAGAGCACCTCGGACTACCCTGTACCCAGCATCTGGCATGTTGCTCTTAATTACTGTGATAAAATAATCTAGTTCCTCATCACTGCATTTACTGCATGTGGCAGATACAAATATATAAATAAATATATTATTTTCAGACATCCGTCTAAATAGAGTTGCTCTGGATACACCAAGGAGTTTGGTAATGACACTTGTTGGCAGACCCATTTCCACAAGGTGTTCGAGAGCCTCTCGCGACACTGCCAATCGTTGACGGCCACGAGAACCTCTTTCAACGTGTACTGTTATTAATGTCTTTTGATTATCTCTTTCCTGCTGGATAATAGTATTCAGATCGGAAAGAGCAGAAAGTATATCCTCTCCCTCCCACATCAACAATGTCACCTAGAGCACCTAATAAAACTAAATAATGGTGACAAGCAAACTGTAGCCCTTACCCATCAACAGGTTGCCTCTCCAAGATGCTTGACAGTCGATCGTAAAACCTCTGAAGGATGTCACGCCTCAATGATTCCTAGAGGAAAAAAAAAAAAACAGAACAAACTTGAATTGGATAACTGTTGGGTAATAGAAATAAAATAACAACTTCCAAATATCTTATGGCACTTTTATTTTTTTAACACTCCAGCTATGATAGTTTTAATAAAAAAACATTTTAAAATAAGACCAACTGTAGATTCAAAGGTACATGAAATGATGAAGCAGTATTTCTGTTTATTATGTGCCAGAGCTCATTGGCCAAAATTTAAAGATGTATTTTATTAAAAAAAAATAATATTTCTTTAACTATCGCACACCACCAGAAAATCTAACATTTATGCACTGGCTCAGCCAGTGTCTGTCTCCTTATTACTGCACGCACAGCCTAAAGCAGGGGTGTCAAACTCAAATTCACAATGGGACAAAATTAAAAACTGGGACAAAATTGCGGGCCAAACTCAATATTTGTTGAAAAGTTTATTTACAGATGTCTTGTTATTCAATTGGAAAGAAACTTATTTTTGCATCTGAACACAGAATCTGATATGACCAAATTACACACGAGCAAGTACATTTTAAATAAAACACATCACTCGTTACTTATGTCTCAATTTTTATTTACTCTTTTCACTCCTTACAATGTGCACATATTCAGTATTTAGATTGTTTTACCTTTTGGATATTTTAAGTTTGTCGGTTTTATGTTTTATTTTAGTTTACTCTTTATTATTATGTTTTACTCTCCTGTTTGGCTTCTGTAATGAACGTTATTGCTGCTGTGACATCACAGTTTCCCCACTGAGGGACAATAAAGGTATTTTCTATTCTATTCTTCAGTTTGTAGTCTGTCCAGTTCCCATTTTAGAGTAAGTTGAATCTTTTTTTTACAGGCCAACAACAAAAACCAAAAATAGCAATTATCTTCTATGAAAATATCTCAGTTATTAACTTTCATGCTTTGGAGCAGAAAAAGTTCATGACAATTAAATGTTTCAAGCTCAGTTCTCTCCACTCTGATGGTCACCTGTTCCAGCCAGATACCTTCTTTCTAGGCGTTCAAAGTCGGAAACTCGCTGAGTAAACTGGGCGCTTAGAGGAGTATCTTCAGTTGTTTAAGACTGAGGGTAACGCTGCACACGCTGATTCTACTAGCATGGATGCTAATGATCGTAAACATAAAAGAGGGCTTGCTTCTTCTCGCGCGCTAACGCCGCAAAGCACTGTGGGATTAGTAGTCTTATCAGCAAAATCGCCCGGCGGGCCAGTTTTAATATTATATATTTGATATTTGATTTCGCGGGGCAAATAAAAATTGACCAAGGGCTTGAGTTTGACAACCGTGGCCTAAAAAAATTGGTACCTAGACACGCTAACTAAACAAATGTTCGGTTGAGTTTAGCTTGATGTTAAACTAGATGAAAAATGGACCAGACTTCACGTAACGTCTGGACTGAATTGAACATAAAACATTTTACTTGACAATGAAGAACGCTTCTACTCATAATTCTATAACATTGCATCAATTACAAGGAGGGAATAAAACTGTTACTCACAGATTGTGACCGGTCCATCCCCCTCTGCCGTGTGAACTGCAATACGCATGCGCACAGCAGATCTGTTCCGTAACATAAGAAGCCATATGATTGGCTGAAAGCGAACAGCCCTGGCAAATCATATTTTGATTGACAGATTCATTAGCCAATGGTGACGTTTGTTGATCTGCGACGTAGAAATAGCATATATCATTCTTAATTGCTGATAACTGATTATTTACTGCCAGATATCTACACCTGTGCCTGTTTACCTCGTCAGAGATGATCTACTGCATCACGAAGAGCAAAAATAAATAGATGAATACGTTTCTTGACAACTGGGGATATTTTCAGACACCCTGTAAAAGGAATTTGCTGAGAGATCGATAAATTTACACAATCTATTTACAGGATTCCAGCCGAGCTGCGGACCGCTGCAGCAGCTTTCATTATTTTCTAACAAAAACACAATGGATTGTATTAGACTTTATTTATTTTCCACAACATT